TCTGGATTTCTATCCGTAGATTTAGAATCATTTCTAATTTTTCATTTATGTTGTCTTTTTGTTCTTATATTTTCTTCCAGAATTCTTCTAGGGTTTTGTCTGTGTTTTCCTTGGTCTGTCTCTCAATCCTTTGAAGATACTGAAGTAAAATTCTTTTGAATTCCTTATCAGGGAGTTCCAGTGCTGCATCTTCCTCAGGGAGGTGTTTTGGGTCTGTATCCTGGTCCCTTGTTTCTCCTGTTTCTCTTGCTTCTTTGTGTGGACTGTGATGCTCTGTTGTCTCCAAGGCATTGTGACGTTTTTGTGTTCATATTTAATTGGTGATTGTATGTTGGAGTAACTTGCCCATGGTTTTAGTTTTCTTTGCTTTGTTTGTTTGTTATGTACGCAAGCCGGGTACTGTGCTGTGCTCCTCTATTCACTAGTTGATAGCACTTACAAACTCACCACCTGTCTCCTTTCCTGTTGTCAGCCTCTTGTATATCCCTGCTGACCTTGGCAAACAGAGCCTATTCTTAGGTCTCTGGAATCTGAATGAGAATGCTATCACTTTAAAATCCAAAATGGTTGTCACTTGTAAGGATTCAAAATGTCTGCGCCCTTGGTCACTTTAAATATCCACAGTGGCCATTGCTTGTAAACATTCTAAATGACTGTGCCCTCATCACTTTAAATATCCAAATTTTGTGTTAATTTAAGTAAATAATATGTTTCTAGAAGGAGCTCTGGTAGCATAGTGCCTAAGGCACTTGTCTGCTAAGCAGAAGGCTGGCGGTTCAAACCCACCAGCAGCTCCTCGGAAGGAAGATGGGGCAATCTACTTCGGTAGTGATACTGCCTCGGAAACTGGAGGAGGGGTCGCTGCGAGTCAGGTCCGACTCGATGGCACATAACAACAACAACAACATGTTTCTAGAAATCTATTTCTTCTAGATTATCAAATTTGTTGGACTAAACTTCTTCATGTTGCAAGATTAAGCAATCTACTTCTGTAGTGATACTGCCTTGGAAATCCAAGGAGGGGTTGCTGTGAGTTGGATTTGACTTGACGGCAGTGAGTTTGGTTTTTTTGGTTTATTTGTTAGATACATCTTTTTCCAACCTTTGATTTTTAGTCTGTTTTTGTCTTTCTCTCTAAGATGTGTCTCTTGTAGACAGCATATTGATGGGTTATATTTTCTTATCCAGGCTACAGCTCTCTGTCTCTTGAGTTGTGCATTTAATCCATCGACATTCAGTGTAAGTTTTGACAAGTATGAATTTGTTGCTGTCATTTTGTTATGTGTCTTTTTGTGGTGTTACTGATTACTTTGTTCAGTATAATTTCTGTGCTGAGCTTGTTTGTTTATGAATCGTGTTATCCCTTCCTTCGTTGCTGTTGTTTTAGTATTTGCTAAATATTTGTGCTTGTCCTCTTTGTTATTTTGATGGGAAGGCTTATCATTTTTCTTTGAGGTTACCCTGTGATTTACAATTTTCTTTCCAAGTTTCGAACAGTCCATTCTATCTTGCAGCTGTCTTAAGTTCAGCTCCATTTAGAAGTTCTATAACTACACAATTTTTTCCCTCTTTTTGGTTTGTAGTTGTCCTCATTTGCCAATTGATGTCTTTGATTCTCTATTTACAATCTTGTAAGCTTATTTATTTTGGATACTTCCATAACTGGGTTGGTTTCTGGGTCATGTCATCATGTGTTGGCACACTATTCTTGGATCAGGAGTTATCAGTGGAAGATCAGTGTTTCTGAAACCTGACCTTCTGGGAAAGGGTTTTGTGGAAACTTCTCCCATATTTTGATATGTATTCTTCTCACATATTTTTACTTCTGTAGAAGTGTTCATGGATATTTTAGTGAAGATCATGATATGGCAGGGACTGGAAAGAAGGGAGCTTGGTTATTTTGTTGATTAACTACTTTATGGGAAGAGCTCTGACGAATTTTTTTGTGCCTTGTTTTTTGTTTTTCATGTTCGTTTAAAATTACATTGTTTTTTGACTAATATACTTGGTAAAAAACGTAAAAGGTTTTTTTTGTTTTTTATACATCTACAAGGAAGATGGATAAATGGTCTTTTAGTTTTGTTTTTATGTTTTTATAAACAGTAGTCTACCATAAACACTTGTCTGCACTTTATTATTTTACCTCTATATTTTGGAGATTGTTTCACATTTGTTCATAAAGTGCTTCCTTGTTCTTTCTTATAGCTGCATAGTCCTGTGTTGCAGGACTGTCTCATAGGTTTTTTTGTTTGCTTTTTTCTTTGTGATTCCTTTTTTTCTTTCTAAATTTTATTTTACTGTTGAGAATATACACAGCAAAATACACACCAATTGCACAGCTTTTTCCTGTACATTTTATTGGCATTCTTTAGTTGTGCAGCCATTCTTACCCTTCTTTTCTGAATTCCTCCTCCTCCATTAATGTAAACTTACTCACTACCCCCCCCCCAAAGTTCCAATTTCAAGTTGCTGCTATCAGTGTGATCCCATGTAGATAGTTCTTAAAAGAGCATAATGCGCAAAGCAGACCCTTTACTAATTGAGCTAAACTATTCAGATATTTCTGGTTTAAGGGTTAAAGATTATCTAGGGCAATAGTTTCTGGGTTTCATCCACCCTCCATGGCTCCAAAAAGTGTCAAAAAAAACACCAAACTCACTGCCATCAAGTCAATTCTGACTCATAGCAAACCCCATTGGGTTGGTGTCCAAGGCTGTAAATCTTTTATGGAAGCAGACTGCCCATCTTTCTTCTACAGAGTGGCTGGTAGCTTCAAACCACTAGCCTTTTGATTAGCAATCAAATAAATGCCGTAACTACTATATCACCAGAGCTCCTTCCAGAAAATGTAGAATTCATGAAATTTGATTCTACATTCTCCCCCTTATGATTAGGATTTTTCTATAGAATCTTTGATAAAAATATTTGGTAATGGTCTTTGGGCACCATCTAGTTATTTTGGTCTCCTGGCAAAGGAGACAGTTATTCATGGAGGCAATTAGCCACACATTCTGTATCTTCCTCCTGTTCCTGATTCTCCTTTTTCCTCTGTTGCTTCAGGTGAATAGAAACCAATTGTACTTTGGACGGCTGCTTGCAAGCTTTTAAGACCCTAGGCACTACACAGCACACTAGGAGGCAGAACAGAAGCACTAAACATGTTATTAGGCCAATTAACTGGGAAGTCACATGAAACCATGACCCTAAACCTCCAAACGAAGGAACCAAAGCCCATAAGATACTTGGTTATACATAAGCAGCCTTAGCAGCTACTTTTTTTTTTTTTTTTTGGTCATCGTTGTAATATATCACAGCTTTTGCCAATTTAACTTTTTATAGGTGTACAGCTTATTTATAGCAGTTAAAATAGTTGGTTGTGCAACCCTACCCTTAATGCAATTTGTCTATCACCATTAACCCCTATTTTCCCCTTCCGTCCTATGTGGTAGCCATTAATAAACTTTAGTCTCTATACAGTTGCCTTTTCTTGTCTTTTTATATAAATAATGTTATGTGCCATCGAGTCGGATCCAACTCATAGTGACCTCTCCTTCAGTTTCTGAGGTGGTATCACTACAGAAGTAGATTGCCCAACCTTCCTTCTGAGGAGTGGCTGGTGGATTTGAACCGCCAGCCTTCTGGTTAGCAGTCAGGTGCCTTAGGCACTACACTACCAGAGCTCCCTTATATTATAGTCACATAATATTTGTTCTTTGGTGGTTGGCATGTGTCACTCAGCATAGTGTCTTCTACTCTATCCATAGTGTAGCATGTATTAAGACTTCATGTCTCGTACTGGGTAAGTAGTATTCTGTTGTTCGTGTGTACCACATTTTATTCATCCATTCATCTGTAGATGAGCATTTAGGTTGTTTCTACCTTTTGGCTATTGTTAATAGCGTTGTACTGAACACTGGTGTACAAGTCTCTTTGAGTCTCTGCTTTCAACTCTTTTGAGTATAATTCTAGGAATGGAATCGCTGGGTCATACGGTAGTTCTGAAGGACTCTGGTGGTGCACTGGTTAAAGCATTTAGCTACTAACTAAAAGGTTGGCAGTTCAAGCCCACCAGCTGGTCCATGGGAGAAAGATGAGGCAATCTGCTTCCAGAAGATTTACAATCTTAGAAACCCTATGAGGCAGTTTTACCCTATCTTATAGGATCATTAGAAGCTGGAATCAACTCTGGCAATGGGTTGGATTTGGTTTGGTATATCTTTCCTTACTCTTTTGTGTTTATCTAGATTCTAGGTACACAACTCTGTTGCCATTTCATTGGATCAGATAGCTTTGCAGATGTTTTCAGAGGTGATTATTTCTCCAGTTATTCCACCAAACAGGATTTTCCCCATCTATATTATTAATGGGAGCTCTGGTGGTATAGTGCCTAATGCATTTGACTGTTAACCAGAAGGCTGATGGTTTAAACCCACCAGCCCTCCTCAGAAGGAGGGTTGGGCAGTCTACTTTCATAGAGGTGTCACCTTGGACCCAAGGAGGGGTCACTATGAGTCACAGTCGACTCGATGGCAGTGAGTTGTTTTTTTTTTTTTATCATTAATATATGTTTGAAATAGCAAAAATGGTTGTGAAAATACTGGAAATTTAGTCAGTTGGATGATTAAAAACCTAGTTTGCCAGAAATGTAGACTTGGCAAGTATTCTGTGTAAAAATGAAAGTCCCATTAGTCTAAAATGTAGGTTATTTGTTGAATTAATAATGCTTATTTTATGTTGAGCAGTACAGCATCATAAAGAATATATAGGCAAGAAGGGTATGATTAATCCTTAACAAAAAATGTATGTTGTAGATTGTCATGTACAATATTCACATAAGATACAAATATAAATCACAGTGTTTACAAAGCTATGTATATGCAAATACATATTAATATAATTAACATTTGGTTTTAACAATGTAATGACATTAGCAGAATGGTTTGGTGGAGGAAATTGAAGAATTTACCTGAGATAATTCATCATTTGTGTCCACAATTTAGGATTGCATTTTAAAGACGATTTCTGTGATTGAGTGTATTCTTGTGGAAGATTGAACCTGTTTCAAGAGGAGTTGGAGCTGGTCCCCCCCTTGAGGAAGCAGTGGCTTGCTTCAAAAAGCCACTTCTGATCTAAGAATCTGCTCAGCATGCCTAATCAAGGAGAAGACTGCTATTTTTTTTTCTATTCTACATGTACCAAAGTAAGATTTGGTATTTCTAAATCAGTTCTTTCCTAGTTTCCAGGATAACATAATCCTAACATCCTAACTTGATTCTATTTTTTGCTTTGCTTGACTATTTATTATCTGTTTCTAGTTTTTAGCAAAGGACAGCACACCTAGGAAGATTTATTGTTCATTCATTTTTTTCTTTTCATTTTACATAGAACTAATTTTCCCATGTTCTCTAACAGTGAAAGAACCATGACATGTCATCATTGAATGTTCTCTTATCTCTAATTAATCTGTTTGGAGTGCATTGGAATTAGGTATACTGTGGCATTGGGTCCCTAGCTTTGATTTTATTTACTTTGTTATAAATGACTACCTACGTTGGATTGTGTATTTAGAAACTGTCATAGATTTTTTTACTTAATTCTCCCCCTAGATAACCTACTGCAAAAAAGGACAAGGAGGCCACATGTTCTGACCTCCTCTAATCCCACAAGAGGAAGACAGGATTACCAGCGGTAACCCAAGGCCTATTACTGCAAGACCAGACATGCTGCCTCCCTCCAGCCCTTTCACCAACCGTTCCTCCCAAAGCACCCACC